GAGAAGATAAAAAATAAAATCCTGAGACATAGGTCATCGTTCTCATTAAGACCCATTTAAAAAACAACAACAACAACAACAACAATGCACCTACATACGTCAGGGTGGCTAAAATTGAAAGACTAATTTTATTCAGTGTTGGAGAGAATGTGGAGCCAGAACTCCTCAGACCCTGCAGGTGAGAATGCAAATGAGCACAATCACTTTGCAAAATTGCTCAGCAGAACAGCTATACTATACCCCCTTGATCCACAGTTTGACCTGCTGTGGTTTCAGTTCCCCTGTGGTCAACTGTGGTCTGGAAGCAGATGCTTTTCCTTCTGCTGACCCCATCAGAAGGCCAATAGGAAGGAGCCTAGCACTACGTCACAAGCCAACGTCATTCCCGTCACTTCATCTCATCACATGGGCATCATCCACATCATCACAAAAAGAAGGGTGAGGACAGCACAACAAGATATTTTAAGGGAGAGACAGAGAGATCACATTCCCATAAATTTTATGACAGTCTATTGTTATAATTGCTATGCTTTGTTATTAGTTATGGTTATTAATATATTACTGTGCCTAATAGATAAATTTAACTTTATCATAGGTTTGTAGATATAGAAAAAACATAGTATATATAGTGTTTGGTACTATCCTTGGCTTCTGGCATCCACAGGGGAGTCTTGGAATATATCTCTTACACAAATTGTACTTGCCTTTGGTGCTGGGGAGGCAGGGAAGAAGGCTTTGCTCTCCTGCTGGGGGAAAGGACATCAGCTTGCACATGACAATCACCTATCACCTTTTTAAAAAATTTCTAAATATATATTTTTTAATTTAAATTCATTTAATTAACATATAATGTATTACTGGTTTCAGAGGTAGAGGTCAGTGTTCCATCAGTCTTATATAATACCCAGTGCTCATTACATATCATGTTCTCCTTAATGTCCATCATCCAGTTATCCCATCCCCCCACACACCTCCCCTCCAGCAGCCCTCAGTTTGTTTCCTATGATTAAGAGTCTCTTATGGTTTGTCTCCCTCTCTGATTTCTTCTTCTTTTATGTTTTCCTCTCTTCCCCTATGATCCTCTGTTTGGTTTCTAAAATGCCACATATCATTGAGATCATATGATAATTCTTTCTCTGATTGATTTATCTTGCTTAGCATAATACCTACTAGTTCCATCCACATCGTTGCAAATGGCAAGATTTCATATTTTTTGGTGACTAAATAATACTCCATTGTATATAGATATCACATCTTCTTTATCCATTCATCTGTCGATGGACATCTGGGCTCTTTCCATAGTTGGGCTATTGCGGACATTGGTGCTATAAACATTGGGGTGCAAGTGCCCCTTCAGATCACCACATTTCTATCTTTGGGGTAAATACCCAGTAGTGCAATTGCTGGGTCGTAGGGTAGCTTGAAATTTTCAACCTTTTGAGGAACCTCCATACTGTTTTCTAGAGTGGCTGCACCAGCTTGCATTCTCACCAACAGTGTAGGAGGGTTCCCCTTTCTCTGCATCCTCGACAACATCTGTTGTTTCCTGAGTGGTTAATTTTAGCCATTCTGACTGGTGTGAGGTGGTATCTCATTGTGGTTTTGCTTTGTATTTCCCTGATGCCGAGTGATGTGGAGCATTTTTTCATGTGTCTGTTGGCCATTTGTATGTCTTGTTTTTGCTTTTAATTAGTATTCCATGTGTGAATATCATTCAAGTTGTTTATTCTAAAATACAATGACTGCGGGATGCCTGAGTGGCTCAGTCAGTTAAGCAGCTGCCTTCGGCTCAGGTCATGATCTCAGGGTCCTGGGATCGAGTCCTGCATCGGGCTCCTTGCTCAGCGGGGAGCCTACTTCTCCCTCTCCCTCTGCTTGTGCTCTTTCTCTGTCAAATAAATAAACAACATCTAAAAAATAAATAAATAAAATACAGTGACTGCATTTGTTTCTGGTTTTTGGCTTTTATTTATAATTTTGATATGGATTTTTCAATGAAACAAAGGAGGACTAACACTTTTTTTTATAAAGATTTTTATTTATTTATTTATTTGAGAGAGAGAATGAGATAGAGAGAGAGAGAGCACAAGAGGGAAGAGGGTCAGAGGGAGAAGCAGACTCCCTGCTGAGCAGGGAGCCCGATGCGGGACTCGACCCCGGGACTCCAGGATCATGACCTGAGTCGAAGGCAGTCGCTTAACCAACTGAGCCACCCAGGCGCCCCCTAACACTTTTTTTCATGGTGGAAATGGAATTGCTCCATCATGAAGTACGCATTTAATCAGCTACAGAGGATAGCACTAAAGAGTTCTCCAGAATACCCAAATGAATTCACATCCCCACCCCCACTTTCACATTTGAAAGTTCTAATCCCGATACTTCCAGCCATTCCACTTCTAGGTAGATACCCAAGAGAATAGAAGTCAGGGACTGAAACAGATCTTTGTGCACCCATGTTCACAGCAACTTCATTCTCAACAGCCAAAACTGGAAGCAACCCAAGTGTCCATCAGTGGATAAATGGATAATCAAAATGTGGTATATACACACAATGGAATAGTATTCAGTCATGAAAAGGAATTCTAACACAGGTTACAACATGGGTGAACCTTGAGGATAGTATGCTAAGGGAAATAAGCCAGACACAAAATGACAAATGTTGTGCGATTCTACTTAGATGAGGTACATGGTGCAAAGTCATAGGGATAGAAAGTAGAATGGTGGTTGCAAGGGGCTGGGAGGAAGGGAAATGCAGAGTTATTGTTTATTGAGTACAGAGTTTCAGTTTGGGAAGATGAAAAAGTTCTGGAAATAGATGATGGTGATGGTTGCCCAACAGGGTGAATGTACTTAATACCATTGAAGTGTATACTTTAAAATGGGTCAAAATAGCCAAGAGGGTATTTTGTGTTATGTTGACTTTACCAAAATAAACATTTCTTTTTTAAAAAAGATTTTATTTTATTTATTTGAGAGAGAGAGAGAGCATTGCAGGGGGAGGGGCAGAGGGAGAGGGACAAGCAGACTCCCCGCTAAGTGCGGAGCCTGACACAGAACTCAACATGGGGCTCCATCCCAGGCCCCTGAGATAATGACCTGAGCTGAAGTCAGAAGTTTCACTGACCTGAGTTACCCAAGTGCCCTGCACCTGGCTGTCTTCTAAGATCACAGCAGCAGATTTCAGTTTTATGGTACAAACCAATATAGCAAATCCTGCATCCTGCTCAGATTTAACAACCACAGAAGGTGACTGGATCTCCCACATTTAATAATTGTAGAGAACACAAAGCTGCCAACCCAACACAATATGTGGGAGAGTTCCCAAAGGTGATGGGGGATTGTCTATCTCTAAAGGCGAGGGAAACAAAGGCAAAAATGAACTATTGGGACTTCATCAAGATAAAAAGCTTTTGCACATGGGGCGCCTGGGTGGCTCAGTCGTTAACCGTCGGCCTTCGGCTCAGGTCATGATCCCAGGGTCGTGGGATCGAGCCCTGCGTCGGGCTCCCTGCTCAGCAGAAGCCTGCTTCTCCCTCTCCCACTCCCCCTGCTTGTGTTCCCTCTCTCGCTGTGTCTCTCTCTGTCAAATAAATAAATAAAATCTTAAAAAAAAGTCTTCTTTGGAACATGCTCAACAAAAAAGGACAGACGATTAAGACATAAATTTGCTCTAGAAACTTCCACAGAGACATTAAACAGTAAAATCAATTTTAATGTTGCATTTTTAATAAGACTTTTATTTATAATTAAATGTGATGTTCTGTAGCAATTATTATGAGGTAGGTGTCTTTCATCTGGGAAAGAAAAGCTGTATTCTTGACTCTACTGTGTACTGCTGTCCACACTGAGAAGGAAGTTTGGGAGACCAGAAACTCAGGGGTTAAGCAGGTAACTGCTGGGTCCTGGGAAGTAAGCCAGGGGAACTCCCTTTGCAGGGGCAGGGCTGGGGCTAGAGAGGAGGAGGGTGGGAGGGTTGTGGTGGGCAGTGCCTGCAAGGAGAGGCAGGCTGAGCGGATCAGTGGACGTGTGTATTAGTCAGATTTTTTATTTCCTTTATCTTAAAAAGCTTGCCTTCTGGGGAGAGACCGCACCTGCCAGGGCCAGCCAGTTCTTAAAGAGGGCAAAGTGCTCTGCCAGGAGCCCACCTTTCAGATCAAACCAACCAATCCCCAGCCCGTGTCCCCCAAACACCCTATTTATTTATTTGAGAGAGAGAGAGCACAAGCAGGGGGAGCGGCAGGCAGAGGGAGAAGCAGGCTCCCCGCTGAGCGGGGAGCCCCATGAGGGGCTCGATCCAGGGACTCTGGGATCATGACCTGAGCTGAAGGCAGACGCTTAACCAACTGAGCCACCCAGGGGCCCCCAAACACCATTTTTCTCTAACTCACACACCCTGCCCTAAATCACCAAGGACGGGTACAAGACAACTAGACCCACCCCTATAGGCCAAAGCCCCCCAGAATTACTCAAACTAGCTGATCCTGAGCTACACTCCTGGCCTTACCTTTCCTACACAAAACCCAGGAAAGGCTTTTTCAAGCCTTCTCCTGCACCTGCTTCTGCCTCCCAACCAAGACGTAGTGCTTCCTCCCCTGTGGCCCTGCATAGCGTGGCATGCCACGTTTCCTTGGGAAAGTAATAACTTCTTCTGATGGTGCTGGCCTCTCCATGTCATCGCTCATTCACCTCCCCAAATTAAACTCCCAGGCGTACAACTGAGAAGGTTTGAGTTGAGAGGTTCCAGGAAGAGGCTGACCATGACAGCCCATATCTGTCCCCCTGGGCTCCAGGTCCACACCTCAGTCCCGTCTTGAGAAGGAGGGAGGCTGGATCAGGCCTCTCAGCCCTGCTCCCTGGAGGCCTCTACACCTGCAGAACCAACACGGGTCTCAGATCAGAGCTACCGCTTTAGTTGTAACTCCAGGCAGGGTGGGACAGCTCAGCACCACCTGGAGCTCAGGAGCCAATCAGCAGACTTCCCTGGAGAGGGACAGGCCCGCTCACCTGGTGTAGTAGATCCAGGTGAGGCCATAGGTGAGGAGGAAGCCAACCCCCATGAGGGCCCCTCTGATCAGGGTGATGACCAGCGGCCAGGAGCCCTCCTGTTTCTCAGTCACACAGTTGCAGGAAGAGGGGGTTCCTGTGGAAGGGGGTCCAGAGGATGAAGTTCTGTCCCCAGACCCCAGTGCCTTCCCCCCAAACGCCTGACCATGCTGACCACCCCCAGAAACTGTATTACAACTCACTCTGCACAGAGAGGCTGAAGGAAACGTGCTGGGAGCCCAGCGGGTGCTGAGCCTGGCAGGTGAACTCCCCTTCATCCTCAACCCCTACATGGGGCAGCTCCAGGACCCCAGGTGCTGAGGGCTGGGAGGAGCTCAGGGCTTTTCCCTCCCGGGACCAGCTCAGCATGGCGGGGGGGTTGCTCTCAGCGATGCAGACCAGGCGCAGGAACTGGCCCTCCAAGACAGGCAGCGACGTGTGGTTGCTCAGCGTCTTCAGGACTGGGTAAGAGATTCACCACAAAGTGGGTGGAGCCGAGAGATCCAGCTCTCCCTCCGTCTTCCCATAGAGCCAGAAATGGGAAGACAGGGCCATGTGACAAGGGCTAAGGGGTAGGCTAATCGTGGCTGAAGGGGCAATGACTCTGGTGGTCAAGTCGGGCCACCAGAAAGAAGGGGGCTCTGCTGAGGTGGGCAGGGCGAGTGGTGGGCAGGCAGCTCCGGCGGAGATGCGCCAAGAATTTGAGACCGCCTGGCAGACGAGGGGAAGCGCACTTGTACCTGTAACTTGGCAGGGAGGACCCGGAGCACCAAAGACATGATCACGGTGGGAGAGGAGGCAGAGTCAGAAATTTTGGAGCTCTGAGTGCCGGGCTGAGGGCACTGGGCTCTGCCCTGAGGTTACTGGGAAGCAGTAGGGGCTATGAGTAGGGGAAATGCAAATCAGTGCTGGGTCTAGAAAGACCGTGCTGGGCCCAAGTGGGGCCTGCACCAGAGAGATTAAACAGGAGGCAGGGAGGCTGAGGAGGATGCTGAGGCAATAGTCCAGGATCCAGGATAAGATTGGAGCTGGTCTGGGGCCAAAGGCAAGAAGAGGGAAATGATTTGAGAAATGAAGTTCTCGAGACTCGCTGACTCATGGGGTGCAGCTGGTGAGAAGGGGAGTTATCTAGCGTGGTGTCCAGAGCCCCTACCCCCACTTCGGGGCTAAGTAGTGGACGCAGAGAGGCATCAGCAAGAGGCAGCTGCATGTCTGATCTGTGGCCAGCTGGAAAGTCGTGGGAGGCACCAGGATAGGGTCAGAATAGGGATGAGGTCACAAGTGCGGACATGGGATAGACTGAAGATGCCCAGGAAAGTGGACACAGAGAACAGCAGGGGTCCAGGGTGGAGCTACGGGGACTGGGAGCATCGGAGGGTCCTACCGAAAATGACTAGATCAGCGATGAAGGAGTGCAGACAGAAATTCAAGCGTAGGGAGCAGAGCCTGGAGCAGTCAAAATCACAGAGACAGAGGTTGGAAGGGTGGCTGCCAGGGGCTGGGGGAGGGGCTGGGGAGTCAGTGCCTGATGGGCATAGAGTTTCGGTTCTGCAAGATGGAGAGAGCTCTGCAGACCGGTGGCAACACTGCGAAAGCCTTCAACACCACTGAGCTCTAGCCTTAAACATGGCGAAGACAATAAGTTTTACATTGTGTCTGTTTTACTACAATTACACACAAACGCCTGGGTGGCTCAGTCGGTTAAGCGTCCGCCTTCAGCTCAGGTCGTGATCCCAGGGTCCTGGGATTGAATCCTGCATCAGGCTCCCTGCTCGGCGGGAAGTCTTCTCCCTCTACCCCTCCCCCTACTCGTATGCTCTCTGTCTCTCAAACATAGATAAATAAAATATTTTTAAAAAGTCTCTCCCTCTCCTTCTGCCCCTCTCCCCCATCTCTCTAATGTGAATAAATAAATCATTTAAAAAAAGAAAACAACCATAAACTCTAAAGCTAATGAAAAAAGGAAGGAGGTCAAAAGGCAAAAACTTCCAGTTATAAAATAAATAAGCCACGGGAGGTAATGCGCAGTTCGGTGACTATAGTTAATAGCGCTGTGTTGTATATTTGAAAGTCCCTAAAAGAGTAGATCTCAGATGTTCTCATCACAAGGAAGAAAAATTTGTAACTATGTGTGATGAGGGATGTTAGGTAGACTTACTGTGGTGATCATTTTGCAATACACACAAATACCAAATCATTATGTTGTCCACCTGAAACTTACTCTTATGTGTCAATTAGAACTCAATTAAAATAAAACATACATAGGGGCTCCTGGGTGGCTCAGTTGTTAAGTGTCTGCCTTAGGCTCAGGTCATAATCCCAGGGTTCTGGGATCGAACCCCACATCAGGCTCTCTGCTCAGCGGGAAGGCTGCTTCTCCCTCTCCCGCTCCCCCTGCTTGTGTTCCTTCTCTCACTGTGTCTCTCTCTGTCAAATAAATAAATAAAATCTTAAAAAAAAAAATAAAACATACATAATACACACAAACTAAAGAAAAGTAGAGGCAGCAGCTGAAAGCAATCCTGGGTCCACAACAGGGGATAATAGTGAGGTGGGTGGGGGGGCAGACACAGACCCAGGGGAATGAGGAGTGAGGGAGAGTCTCATCTCCAAGCCCTGAGCCCTGAGCAGGCACACCCCATTCCCATCACAGCCCCAGGGAAGAGAGGATCTTCCCTACCTGTGTAGTTTCCCTGCAAAATGCGGGTGGTCATCAACTGTGGAGCGTCTGAGGAGGAAAGATATGGTGAGGGGCAGGGTGGGCCTTTGCCCTTTGTTCCAGGAGCCCCATAACTGGAAGGGATGGGCTTTGTGACTTCCCCCAATCTCCCCCAGGAAAAGTATCCCAGGACTGATGCCTTTTCCCCCCACGGCCCTGAGGGACCCAGCCATCCCTCCAGCACTCACAGGAGACATTGAGCCTGATGGTTCTTTCCACGGTGTCCTGACCTCCTGGCAGGTGCACCTGACAGGTGAGGTTGCTGCCATGGTCCTGCAGCCTCGGGGTGAGGGTCAGCACTGAGGAGCGGAGGGTCTGGGGGTCCAGCGAGTCAAGAGCACGCCCCACCCAGGAGAAGGTGAGAGGTCTTCCCTCTTCGCAGGATCCCAGCATACTGCAGGTCAGGTTTGTGGGATAGCCAGACTTCAGGGGCTCCGGAAAGTGGATGTCGGGTTTCTGTGTCAGGGCTGAGGAGGAGAGAGGGAGGTGCTTGGGCCCCAGGGAGGTGGGGACCCAGAGTGTGACCCTGGGAGGGACCAGGGCCTCAGGGCACAAGCTGACCCCGGGGCCCCATCCATCTTCCCACCATGCCAGCCCCAAGACCTGGAGCAAGGAATGTTCCAGGGTCCTGTTCCTGTTCTATGAGGGGGATCTCCATGTCCCAGAGCCCTCTTCTGGGGCCCCTGCCGGACCTGCCACCTTCACGGTCAGCTTCTTAGCTCTGTAACTGTATGTCACGTAGTCTGTCTTCACTCGGAAATTGTAGACTCCCTCGTCCCTCTTCCTGGCTTCTCTGATTCTCAGGGAGCAGTTCTTGTCCGAGGGGTTCCCGACGAGGTAGAATCGGCCCTGGGTCCCCATCTTCACCGTTTTCGTTTGGTCATTTGTAGCCACAGGATAATAGGTCTCCCCTTCCCGGAACCAGTATATGTAGAGCTCCTCAGGGGAAGACCACGAGCTCCAGGGGTAGGAGAAGGAGCAGGGCACGTGGACACACAGACCCTCCTGCACCGTCACCGATTCCTGCACTCGGAGCTCGAACCCTGGATCCTCCTGCGGGGACCCTGGGGGGACACAGAGGCTCAGCTGCAGCTCCAGCCCACTCCCACCTGTGCCCAGCCAGCCCCCCTCCGTTGGCCCGCTTACCCCCCCACAGCAGGGGCAGCAGCAGCAGGGGCACCATGTCTGCACCGGCCAGGGCAGGAGCCTGGGTTCGGGTTCATCTGTCAGGGAAGGAAATGGCCCGAATGAAGGTTGAGGCCAAGGAAGCCCCAACAGGAAGCCGAGTGTGACAGAGCTGTGGTCACCACAGAAGGGGAACTTAGTCAGCATGGGCCATGGGAGGTGAAGGGGGGCTGAGAAATCATCCCGTCTTGCCTCCCTGCCATTTGCGGATGGTGAGAGGCTTGTCTAGGGGGACGAGGCCCCAGAACTATGGCCCTTTCCTAGGGCAACATGTGTTTTTTTTGTTTTGTTTTGTTTTGTTTTGAGAGAGACAGCATGAGCAGGGGGAGGGGCAGAGGGAGAAGGAGAAGCAGACTCCCCGGTGAGTATGGAGCCCGACATGGGGCTCCACACAGGGCTCCATCCCAGGGCCCCGATATCAGACACTTCACTGACTGAGCCACCCAGGCGTCCCTCCTCATGCACCATGTTTGCACAGGGAAGAGAACACCACCTTGCCAGTTTCCTGAGAATATCACCTCTGGGCACTAGAAAAGATCCTGAGCAAATGCATTAGCACATGGTGGAGCTCTAAAGAGAGGCTCCCAGGCTGAGGGGCCAGGTGGCAGGGTCTGCCCCTCTGTCAGGAGAGAAGTTATCAGGGACAAATACGTCAAGTAGACATGACTTGGTCCACAGTAGTCACAAGATGTGGCTCCCATCAGTGACCCTGGGGCCTCCTGACCCCTTGGATTTGGGTCCCCAGTCCCACCACAGTCCTCATCCCAGGCCACCTCAGACTCTTGTCTTGGTGTTGATGCAGAACTGACCTGAGAGCTGGGCATTTGGAATGTGGAAGTTGAGGGCATGGAGTGACTGGGTTGGAACCCAGATACCTACCTACTTACCACCTCAGCTACCACCTGCTCAACTTTACTAAAATTAGTTAACCTCTCTGTGCCTCAGTCTGCTCATCTACGAAATGGGGACACTACTACAAATGCTGTGTGACATTAAATGAGTTCATGCATGTCAGATGCTTAGGACTGTGCCTGGCACTGAGCATTTTTTCATCCAAATGATGCTTCCTGGACACCTCCCATGTGCCAGGCCCTGTTTTAGGGCTGGAGATACATACAGCAAAGGGTCAGCTCCTCAGAGCTGAGGATGGAAAAGATGAGTCAGGAACTCTAGTTAGAAGACAAACAGTTAATAAAAAAATTAAAATGTGCTATCCCTTAGAGAGTGATATATGTTAGGGAAAAAAAACCCAAAACAGAAAAACATAAGAAGAATTTTTGAAGACTGCTGAAATTAAAAAAAAAAAAAAAAAAATGTGCCTGCAGCAAGCCTCATGGAGAAGTTGACATCTGAGTGAAGACATGGACAAAGTGAGAGATCCCGTGGGTACCCACACAAAAGGAACCCACTGTGAAGGACTAGTGCACTCAGAGGTCCTAAGTGGGAATAGGTGCGTTGACGGACAGCTGGGTGACAGCGTAGCAGAGTGAGCCATGGGGAACATAGAAGAAGAGGAGGTCTGGGAGGTACCGTAGGTCAGCTTCTGAAGAGCTCTGGAGGCTGCTGTTAAGAACTTGACTTGTACTCTGGGTGTATTAGCCGGGGTTCTCCAAACAGAACCCATAGGATCACATTCTATGCATATATAAAGAGATCTATTGTAAGGATTTGGTTCCTGTGATTATGGAGGTTCCGAAGTCCCAAGATGTGCAGTTGGCAAGTTGGAGACCCAGGACATCTGAGGGTGAGTTCCAGTCCACAGACCAGCTGGTTTAAGATCCAGGAAGAGCCGATGTTTCAGCTCAAGTCCAAAGGGACAGAAAAAAATGATGTCCGAGCTTGAAGGCAGTGAAGCAGAAAGAGTTCCACTTACTTATGGAAGGGTCAACCCTTTCCTTCTATGCAGGCCCCTAATTGGACCGGGTCCACCCACACTGGGAAGGACAATCTGCTTTACTCAATCCACGGATTTAAATCATTGGCCATTGGTGATTTATTCAACTTCCAGCCCCTCTCCCCTCCCTGGAGGTCAAAGTCCCAACCCTTCAATCAAAGTTTCCCTTAGCAACCAGCCCCCATCCTTAGCTGCTATCCAAAAGTTGCCTCATTAATATAACAAAAGACACCCTAGTTGCTTTCATTACTTAGTAAATGCCAAAGGTTTTAGGAGCTCTGTGTCAGAAACAGGGATGGGAAGACCAAACATACATGTTTCTGGATTATAAATCACAGCATTACAGGTGTGAAGGGCAGTGCAGGCCTTGAACAGAAAAGGGACAGGATGTGATTTGCTTTTCCCCTGAGCCCCTGCTTGCTGGACTGAGCCCAGACTCCTCTGGGGTTGTTGTGTTGCCCTGCAAGTGAGATGGGGGCGCCCAGGTCTGGGTGGACATGGTGGGTTGGTGGGAAGCTGATGGCTAGCAGTATTTGTTGGTGCATCCGATGCATATTGAGAGAGAAAGAGAAAGATCAACAACACCAATGTGTTTCTCCTGAGTGGTTGCAATCTCCAAGCTGCCATTGCTGGAAAAGGGAAAGATTTTTAAAGAAGAAATTTGGGAGCTCAATTTCGGACATGTTGGGTTAGAGATGCATGTCAGACACACAAGTGGAAAATCAACAGAGGGTGCTTGATCTGTGGGTCTGTAGTTTAGAAAAAGTTCCAGCTGGACCCATGAACTTAGAGTGTCACCACACAGACTGAATTTAACCGTGGGCCTGAGTGTGATCACACAGGGCATGAGATAAAACAGAAAAGAGGTGATGACCATCTCCAGTGGCCATCAGACCCACCTTCCTGCTGAAAACAACCACAAACACAAAGGGAAAGTCATGGCAAATCTGAAAACCACTGAAGGGCTGACAGAATTTTCAGCGTGAAATCGAGGACAGGGTAGAAACCCAGACAGAGAAGGGAGACACCAAAGCCACACTTTAGCTGAGGGAATTTTGAATGTGGATTTGGCACTTGACTGTCCTAAGGATCAAAGTCAGGCTGTAGGTCAGGTGGGGAAGGCTCAGGACCTGTGTGCACATCCATCTCCCTGCATACCCCCAGGCTCAGTCTGGGGGACAGGCTGGAGCAGGGCAGCCCCACTCCACCCTCTGGGGCTACCCTGTCATTAGCAGAGAGGGCAGAAGGATCTCTAGGCTGGGGGTCCAACACCCCCCTTCATGCTTTCATTCATCTATTAGGCATGGGAATACAGACAAGACCAGTGAGTGGGAAGGAAGTTGCCTGCAGAAGCCACAACATGTAGAGATAAGGACCCTACTTGAACAGAAAAGGAAGCTTCCCCATAGCATTTCCAAGGAAGGGAGAAGCCAGATGGGACAACCTCCGGTCCCACAGGAGGAGGACTGAGGGAGAAGACTCTGTCCCAGCCTGAGGGTACAGCAGCCCTCTGAGGGCACCTGGATGGATGTGAAAACATGAATACAACTAGTTCTCAGGGTCAGATCTGCAGTTCCAAGCCTCAATCCAGCCCATACATCTTATGGCTCTGGGAAAGCCTGTCCTCACCTCCACGGCCTCCCCTACATTCCTGGGTTCCCCAGGGCTCCCTCATGGCTCTATCTTCCTATGCTGTTGTTTTATTGTTGGTTGGTTGGTTGGTTTTTGACTGTCCAGGTCCTGGTTTCTGTCTAAAAGCAGCATCTGACTCTATGTGGAAAACCCAAAAGACTTCACCCCAAAGTTGCTAGAACTCATACAGGAAATCAGCAAAGTGACAGGATATAAAATCAATGCACAGAAATCAGTTGCAATTCTATACACTAACAATGAGACAGAAGAAAGAGAAATTTAAGAGTCAATCCCATTTACAATTGCACCAAAAACCATGATACCTAGGAATAAACCTAACCAAAGAGGCAAAGGATCTGTACTCAGAAAACTATAGAACACTCAAGAAAGAAATTGAGGAACACACAAAGAAATGGAAAAACGTTCTATGCTCATAGAATGGAAGGACAAGTATTGTTAAAATGTCTATGCTACCTAGAGCAATCTATACATTCGATGAAATTCCTATCAAAATACCATCAACTTTTTTCACAGAGCTGGAACAAATAATCCAAAAATTTGTATGGAACCAGAAAAGACCCCAAATAGCCAAGGAATGTTGAAAAAGAAAACCAAAGCTGGGGGGCATCACAATTCCAGACTTCAAGCTCTATTACAAAGCTGTAATCATCAAGACAGTGGCATAAAAACAGACACATAGATCAATGGAACCGAATAGAAAACCCAGAAATGGACCCTCAACTCTATGGTCCACTAATATTCAACAAAGCAGGAAAGACTATCCAATGGAAAAAAGACAGTCTCTTCAACAAATGGTATTGGGAAAATTGAACAGCCACATGCAGAAGAATGAAACTGGACCATTCCTTATACCATACACAAAAATAGACTCAAAATGGATAAAAGACCTAAATGGGAGACAGGAATCCATCAGAATCCTAGAGGAAAACACAGGCAGCAACCTCTGTGACCTCAGCCACAGCAACTTCTTGCTAGTCTCCAAAGGCAAGGTAGACAAAGGCAAAAATGAACTATTGTGACTTAATCAAGATAAAAACCTTTTGCACAGCAAAGGAAACAGTCAACAAAACCAAAGACAACCAACAGAATGAGAGAAGATATTTGCAAATGACATATCAGATAAAGGGCTAGTATCCAAAATTTATAAAGAACTTATCAAACTCTGGGCCCCTGGGTGGCTCAGTCGTTAAGTGTCTGCCTTCGGCTCAGGTCATGATCCCAGGGTTCTGGGATCGAGCCCCTGCTCAACAGGAAGTCTGCTTCTCCCTCTCCCACTCCCCCTGCTTGTGTTCCCTCTCTCACTGTGTCTCTCCCTGTCAAATAAATAGATTTTATTTATTGGAGAGAGAGAGAATGAGAGAGAGCACGAGAGGGAAGAGGATCAGAGGGAGAAGCAGACTCCCCACCGAGCAGGGAGCCCGATGTGGGACTCGATCCCAGGACTCCAGGAT